AATTACATAAGATGAGAATTTAAATTCTGTTATTATCTATTTATATATTTATCTGAAATACTGCAATATTGACAGAAATATGTTAATATAATGACCAATAGTATATACGTAAGAAAAATATAATAATGTTTTAAAAATTAATTTTTTATTTATATAAAAAAGTTTTATCTTTGTTTTATGATTGAAAATATACGCAAAATTTCTATTTTGTACGTGGCGAACGATTTGTCAAAAGTATATATTTTTCTTTTTTGGCGGAAAAATTTTTCCATTGCAATGATCGATGTTTTGGTGTCAAGTGAATATCGTATATGAGCATGCATAATGTATTAGTTTATTTCATTTGACAGATTTTGTTTGCAACAATCATATGTCACTTTGTACTTACTTATTTATCAATGTCTTCTCCCTTTTTTCCTCTCGTTTAATTCTATTTCTCTTTCTTCTTCTTATATTTTGCAAGCATTAAAAATAGTCACGATTTCTATTTGTATTTTAAATAGCATATAAATAATAATTAGTGATATATTGAAACTGCTATTCGCAATAACATTATCAAAAACGCAAATTAATATTCATAGCACGTTGTACATTGATTGCCACATGTAGGAATAAACACACATGTGCAATCTTCCTTTTTATAAATTAGTAGTTTTATAATGGATATATTTTATTATTCTGCAATACAAAAAAATCGAGTGGACGATCGACAAATTATACTTGGATGGACTTTAAATTATCGCGCCTGATGTTTATCGATGATCATGTCGTGTGGCGCATATATAAAAATCTCGAGGGCCGACCTGACTCGCGATTGGTCGGCATCGATCGAAAGCCCGTTATTAGCATCTGAATGAGGCAGGAGCAAAATCAGTTTGAATCCAGATTGGACGATGAAACGGTGGGCTCATCGATCACTAGCCATTTGACTGAAATAATTCGAATGCAAATGCATCGGACCGACGACGTCGCCGGAATCTTTACTGCTTTTGGTCTCGCGAACTAAACCAAAGATCCAACAAAGAAAATTAGTTAGAAAACGCGAAGCGATATCTCTACGGAATCCTTAGCTATAAAGAAGGATTTGATCGCTTCTGCTGAACTTCTTGAAACGCTTTTCAAGGAATGAGGTCATCCGGTTAGCATAACAATGTGGTTGGACTTTATGTATTTATGTAAAATATTTCATCCTTTGAATCCTAAAAAATAACGCAATTTATATGATCATGTATCATATGGTGAAAATGGAATTATTTTTTTGCAAATATTTGTTAAAGACATACATATATGTATTAAGAATAATATATTTCATACAAATAAATTTTGATTGAAATTTTTACTTGCTTGTAATTATAAATTTAAGTATAATTTATATCTTAAACAATATATTTTTCACTGGAATTTTTCGACGACAAAAAAGTTTTACAATGATTTAATCTAGACAACAAATAGCAGCAAAATGTAGAAATTTCTATCTTCTGTATAAATCATTAAATCAATTTAGCAACTGTCATATTAAAGTAGCTTTAATATTCTATTTCTTTATAAATGAAATACTAATTTCTTGCTCTTTTGTTGAAAGTTGATGTTTTTGAAGTTCTATAAAGGGAGAGTAACATAAATATGTTAGTATAAGAAACTTAATTTTTATGAAATTGTTAAAATATCGCGATTGGCCGATAACAAAATTACGTTCTCAGTATTCCTTTACGATGAAAAACGTAATTGCCGTCATGTAAGTTAATAAACTATGATGAATTGTATAAAGTGCAAAGCTGACTGCGAGACAAGGCTATATGATTAATGGCGGGTATGATAATGCATTATTTCGCAAGGCGCATTCTTAGTGCAGATCGTAGCGAAATTACCTGACTTGCTAGAAAATGCCTTTTAATAAATTGCGATATAAGATAAAAATATAAATTATTTATTTTATGACTTAAATATAATTTTAAATAAACAAATAAAATTTCCGTTATCTAAAAACAAAAAAAAATTTATCATTATTAGGCAATGTAATTAGAGCTATTTTTTAATGCGGAAGAAATTGTAAATAACACTTGTCTTTTGCTTTGACGAAAAAATAAATAAAATAGGATAAGTCGGGATTAGTTCGGCACATATACATATATGTTACATTTAAATAAACGATCCCACTGAACAAAAATTGTTAAACCTTTCAACGAAATTATTATTTTATTAATTAAACATATATTAATATTTAATTCGAATATACGTTTTGTTAAATTTAATATGTTGTATTTACTTCAAATATTTTTATATGTTCAATTAACAAAATAATATTTAGTTGAAAGGTTTAGTCAAGTTAACAAATTTTTTTCAGTGTCCTGTACTGTGACAAATAAAAATTCCATTAGTTATCAAAAAATTAATGATGCAATTAGAGCTGTGAATTAATGTAAAAGAAATTGTAAATATTTAGTATTTGTATTTCGCTTTGAGAAAAAAAATGGATGAAATAGAAGGATAGATAGGTTCGGCACATATATATTACATGTTACATTTAAATAAACGATCCTGTATTGTGACAAATTTGATTGGTATACAATGGTTTACAAGGGAGTCGATCGTATCACGCCACGGAATGGCACGGGGGATAACGAAGTATTGAATCGAAGATACAAGCGTAAGTGGAATGCAGCGATGAATGAAAGCGCAAACTGGAAGACGCTATTTTTCTCTGTTCTCTCTCTCCCCTTTGCCGTTGAAGTACTTATTTCTCCTGCGCGATTTCGTTCCGTCTACGTGTCAACGCTGCGCTTGTCGATGCAAGTTCAGAAACATGTTTTTTTTTATGTTTTTCTTGTTACGTGGATATATCCACAGAGACATTCTGCTCGACATAAAGTTCAATTCTTGTATATTGGACATCTCGTTCCGAAGATATCATAAAGTCCGTTCATGTAAATTGTATATTTTGCCAGGAGTAGCGATGAGTGTACGCTAATATGGCAAATGCGTCGAGCAAAATGAAATGTTTGTTCGGTTCCGTCGCGACGTACAAAACTGGAGATTAATCGGTTGGATATTGCGGAATCCCCGAATATTTTCTGCTCTCTGTGAAATCGGAACGACACATAATCACACAATTACACGTAAATTAAACGTAATCAAGTAGATATACACGAAAATGCAAAACTCTCTATCTCTGCACGTCTCCTCTGGATGATAATTTGATTAAAAGAATACGAATGCAAGTATTTCTATAGCCATCATCAGCAGAATTGATCGGTTTCGCTTCAATCAGATTCGTCACACGGTCCGAATAAAATTCCAAATCAAATTCGAGAGCATCCAGAGCCATCCATTGAAGACGTGTATCGTCGAGTCTCTGCGGTTCGGTGCAAGGACGAGGGAAATCCTATGGGGATACCCATTATATTGCATATTCGCGTGCGATTTTATGGCTCATTCGTGCAACTCCGTGTTGCCGGAATTGTTACATTGCTTCGCGATTTTTTTTTTCGTCGTGAGTTCGGGATAGAAAAAAGTGTCACGATGAACATTAACACGAGAAACGTTAACGATAACGGACGATCGGGAGACGTCGCGATTATTGCGCGACGCCTCGACAGTTTTTCGATTATCTTAAATCACTCGCATCACATACACGTCCTCGCTTCAACATGATTGCGCGATATACACCTGGTTAGTTAATCACACACTATGGGCATTCGACATAATCATGGTTTCTCTATTTTCGCTCGATGCTCGATCCCTCCTGAACGTTCTTCCTCGTAACATCATCATGCATGACGTTATCCTTGTTTTTATTTTTTTATTATTTTTTTCTGAACGACTTAATACCCGATACGCATTATCTATCTCGCTTTATTAATCGCTGATAGATAACAATTATTCGTAATAAGAAAGTCTGACGATATGATAGATTGATCGCTCTCGACGGCCGCCACGAGTAAATATTTTCTATGAAATTGGAGGATATCACTTATACGTTCCGCGATCGATTAGCACAATTTCATTATCTTTTTATTTTTAATTCTTGTTATTTTTTTCACTGAACATATTGTATGCACATGGAGTAAAGGATATAATATTTGAGATATACTTTAATATATTAGTAATCGATTTTTTAAATCATCAACGACATCAATTATGTATAAAATTCTGAGAAAATTTTTGAGAAATATATGTATCTTTTTCTCTTAAGAGATAAATTCAAATTATTATTTCTTTGTAAAATCGTGTTTGCCGAATACCTCAAAAACAATTTTACAACAGAATGACGTTTGTAAACTTTCAATGATTGCAAGACGCGACGTAAAAAGATTTTGTGATAAATTGGCAATCCGGTGATATTTGCGATATTTACACGGGAATTGGGAATGTGCATCGCGCGCTGCAATTCAAGCATTCGAGTATTTGTATGGGCGAGACGCATCTCTCGGAAAAAGGAAAATCAGCTTTACACGTGGCGGCTCGTAATTTGGCTTCCGATTTCCCCCGCCATCACGTCCGACACTGAGGCGAGCTAAATTGCGGTTATTTTTATATGCGACAAGCGTCCCCGAGCGTTTTAAAATTCAGCACGATTCTAATTATCAATTGAACTTCGTATCGTAAAAATCGACGGTCCTACAAAGTGTTTCCGCGGTTGCTTCATTTATTTCATCGTTCAAATTTATGCGTCGATGTGTTTCGGTGAATGTATTGTCGAACGTGTACAGGAATTAATTTGAAATACGATTAACGCGAGGATCGTTTGTGTGAATTTGATCTGGTATCTTTTCTGATATCGAATTATTTGTATACGCCCAACTACTGTGCGCAGTTGAAATAAACGATATCCCGTGTATGTGAAATATCGGTATTGAAATGTTAAACAATGTTACTATACATTCAGCAACTCGAAATTAAAATACATATATTAATATGACGATATCTAACAATTTTGATTCCTAAGTTTGATTGCTGTTTAAGTAGTCGTGAAAGTAAGTTGTACATGCCTTACAATAATATTTTTCTTCTCATGTTCGTGCGTCAGAGTTCTCATTCTTTCCCTTTATATATTATACAAAATGGTACATTTATTGTTTGAAATAGCATCGAACTCCGATCGATGAAGTGTTAAAGACGGTTTATATACGCAATCACAAGAATCCCCTTAAAAATGTACATTATTTGCAGTGTGCCTGTCGTAGATAATGTAGCGTCGAACTATATGGGCGGGAGATATCGTCTCTTTTGGCACGAAACCAACGTGAACCGTAAACGTCGTTTCTCGCGAACCAGATCGCGACGATCCGTCGACGCACGGTAAGTTTCCAATCGCGAGACGGTTCTGTGTGAAGACGATAAGAAAACTCGAGCGGAACGCGAGAGAGAAGCGGGATATAACTTGCATCCATCCATCGATCCAGACCGGCGCGATCTGATGCCGCTTTAGGTACTCATAACGCGTTTACATGATTAAAATACCATACGTTCCACACGCACCCCATTATCATGACTCGCACATTCGTTTTCTCAATAAACGTCTATAAGTATGTATATTTATATTTGCATTTATATTTATATATATATATATATATTTATATTTATATATTATATACTATATATATATATATTTCACGCAACACACACTCACGCATCGGTGCGATTTTACGCCCGTCTGGATTAAAAAACTCATGTGAGACCCCGCTGTTTTGCGGTGTCAGACTCATTCACACTCTCGCTCATTGCACAAAATAGTTACCCCCTTATTACACAGTAATTGTAATTCATAATAATAATTATAATATCTAGTAATAATAATAAGAATAATAGTTGCGTCGTCGTCACGATCGACAGTCTCTTTTGGCACGTGACGTTTCTAATAATAATTTATTTGCGACGGCGAACCTTTTTTTTTCATCCATCGCAAATCTTCTTCTAAAATCTTCCACCCGCGAACGCTGTTTCTTATTTTTCTTTTTTGTAATCTCATTACGCGTTCCTTTTTTCGTTTGTTTTTTTTTATGGCAGTAAGTGTGTAGTTCGAGTTGCTGGTTGCACATGCACCCATCCCAGGACCATCATTATACTATCGCAATCGTGGCGACTTCATCGTCGCCCCGACGGTGAATTCGTTTTGCTTCTTTTCTTTTTTTATTTTTATTTGATTCGCTCACGGATATTTACAATGTACAAAGGATTCGGCCGACAGGAATTTTCGTTTCCATTCGTGTCGACGTTGCAGATCGAAGCTTTAATCGAAGCTTGGGAAATGCTTTACTTATGTGTACTCCTCGAGCGACGAAAAATTCCGCCGATTTATGAGGATGTGGCTGCCCATTTTTTTTAAATCTCACGCTCTGATATATTTTCCATACTGATTTTATCTTTTGGTAAATATTAAAAATCTCAAGATAATAAATACTAATTTTTATAAAATGGTAAAATTTATTGTAGAAAATTTGAATTTTGAATGTTTTGTAAAAAGTATTGGCATTTTCGTGATCGGCCAATGTTTTATGTTCTGTGGATGAAATGATATTCTTCAAGGTGCGTGAAAAGGACAATAGTCGCCGATGTTTTGATACATTTATCTCGATTCTACTATCAGTTATATCAAATAATCCGAAATCTCGAGTAATGCGACACAATTTTTCGCAATTCGAACATACCGATAATCCAATTGTCATCTGCATAATTCTGTATTAAGGTAATCGCATTCCAATATTTATCAGAGGAACTAGTCTCTCAACTTCTCCCTAAGTCGTTTAAATACATCGTCCATGGAAATCGCTACAGAAAACCATTCGGTTCTGCGTGAAAAATGTTACAACGCACAGAGGGACACAATTTTTTCTCGATTTCTTAGAATCATTACAAAACCTTACGATTATTGTTCTATAAAAATATCAATGCTTCCATGTTCCAATCGCTTCATTACTCGAGTTCGGATCGCTAGAACATTTCTGGGCGAAAAATTGGCAAGAGAAGAAGAGCTACCTCGTGTCAGCAGCTCGAGTATACGTTCGAATGTCTCAGCACAGATACTCCAAATAGCTAAGGTCGTCATGATGTCGAAAAGACGCCGATCGTTGCCTACGCTCGCTTCAGCATCTTACGTGATGTATTCTGGCGGCTTGTCGCTGAGACCGGCCCAGTGTCGCGGCGACGCCGGCGTCCACGGGACCGCCACGTCGAGGACCGCCATGCTGGACTTCCGCTGGAACATGTACTTCGGGCTCTTCTTCCTCGGGCTCTTCGGTGGCGACTCCGCGAAGGTCACGTTCCTCCGTGGTCTCCTGGGCGGTGGGGGTGGCGGTGGGGGTGCCACCAATGGGGGTGGCGGAGGTGTGGGCAGCGAATTCGAGGGCGATCCGTCGCTCGGGCTCTCCAGGTAATAATTTACACCTGGGTGTGGGTATTGCTGTGAACCTGATCGCCCTCCGTGTTCCCAATCGCGTTGGCTGGAGCGTAGTACTGGAAATGTCAATGCCGATTATTAGGCGCATCGTAGCGTTAAGCTCGTTTGAGCTAATAAGCTGTCGCAGTTTCCCGATTATCGTCCGAGACCGGCGGTGTTTGGATTGCTACCTTCAATTAAGATCAGGTGTACGAAGTATGCTTTTTCATGTTTTTTGATGTAGCGTCTTATTTTTTATTTTTTGTCTTTGATTTGCTGTATAGTTGTTTCTTTCATGAAGATGTCAAGTGTATTGAATCATTTTTTCTAACAATTAGCTTTTTTATCACGACGGTTAATATTAATATTAATATATTATTATAATTAAGAATTTTAATTAATGCAAATATTGACGGTTTTGATAACCAGTCGTGTTTGGATAATCTGGAAACTGAACTATGTGCGACGGTATACTAGCCCAGACATATTGACACATTGACAAAAGACGATAGGAATTTTATATGTGACTAAATTTTTGGCAGTGATTCATGACAAAAATTACGTGAAAGATTGCAAGTTATATGTGATTCTTTTTCTATCGTGAATGAGACCTATATTATTCCATCTCTTCTGTTCCAATCCAGATTTTGCAACGTATTAGTTCTACAATGCATCTGTAATTCAGTAAATACGGATGTGCGGATATTTGATTCTTGTTTGTGATAGCAGTTACTGTGCTACTGATGTAAACTCGAGGTTTATCTACACAATCGCTCGTTTTCATTTTTCTGAAATAAGTTCAGATAGAGAGAGAGAGAGATTGAAAAATGTGACAAGTTATAAGTACGATGAAGTATTATGAATGTCACAGTTTTTAATGATAGAAATATCTACATAGATAAACGAGTTTTTGTTTGTCTTGTTTTGTTGATATGAACGATAAATACACGTGCACATAAGACATAAAGAAAACTAGTCAACAAAGCAACCCCGAATTCACGTTATTTATATACATATATGTTTGTCATTCTATAAGCTTTGCATAATGAAAAAATGTTATATGTCACGTTCGTTTGCCGTTGATATATTCGAGAAATGTACTCATGTTATATCAAACGAGCACGAGAGTAGATACCAAAAGAAAGATCGAAATCTTAATAAGGGAAACACCAAAGTAAAGCACAAGTAAATGTGGAAGGAAATATGAGATAAAGAATGCGAGTTTGACACGCAAAATAGTCGACGTATAAACGGAGATTTTACAATTCTTTCTAAAATAGTACTATAGTAATAACATTTTTACTGATGCTATTGTTGAAATGTTAAACTTGATGATCAACTTTATCAATCTTCCTCGAGACACTTCGTTTTATTTTTAACGAAATGTCAGAGATAAATGTATCGATTTGTTAATGAATATTTATAGCTTATTATCCTAAATTTAAAAAAATATATTTGCGGAAGATTGCTAAAATCGAAAAAACAGATTTTAATATTAAGCAGCTGCGAAGTGACGAAAAGTTCGAGAGAAAAGCAGCTCTTTGCATAGGTATATATATATATATGTACATATATACTAGATACTATTCAACTTTGAAAGAGGAGCGCAAAGGATACACCGTGCAGACATATCCACACACTGATGTAGCAATGTAGGGAGGTAAAAAAAAATCTGAGATCTTCAAAAAATTTCCTGCGGAGCTCTTGATGCACCATGGTCTCTTCAGTCATACCTTCGGCGCGAACGTAGTCAAAGTTGGTACCTCCGCAGCCAGTACTCGTTTCTTCCCGCGCTGTGAAAGGAATCAGTGTTACAAAAGATAGGAAACTCTGTGAAGATCTCAAGTTTTTTTTAAGAGTCCCTACTTATCTCTGTTTCTTTTTTTTTCTTTATATACATATTGATTTTTACATATTGAACACTTATACAAGAGAGCTAGTAGTACTAATAAATCATACTTATTGCATGATATAAATCCAATAAGAATTAATGAAATTATTGTCAGTACTTTTCAAGACTATTAATTACTAATTTTTAAATATTTACAAAGAGAAGTGTATATATACATGTGTATGTAATAAACATCGGCTTATCCCTCCTCGAAGGACGGATAATATTTCAGGAGTTGTGGTGATGATGTGATTTAAACCGCGACTACATCATGCAGAAGCCTCCGACGCAGAAAGCGAAAGAGAAAGAGAGAAAGTGAGAAAAGGACATGCGGTAGAATTAGAAGAAAAGCAAGATATATATATGCAAAGTGGGAATTAAAATTAAGGGCGAGAGTACTCACATATGGTCCCGGGAAAGGCGCATGCATCCTCCGTCTAACTCTGCAGTCCGTACCACTAGAGAGACAAAAACCCAAAGTAGAACGAAACGCAAACGAGCAAATTTTTACGCCCCCTCCCCTCCCCCCTCCGTACGTCATCCACCGAGTAGAAGAGAGAAACAGAAAAAAAGAGCGCAATACATCCAGCCAGCTGCACATCGCACGCACGTACGCATACATATGTAGACATATACATATATATATATACATATATGCAAATTATATGTATATCAATATATATATATATATATATCGGATCGGTCACTCAGCCTCCGGTCGATCGGCCTCTTCGACACTGAGAGGCTGGAGCTCTCTAGGACATTAAATGTAGCCAGCTTCGAGTCCGGCGTAACTAAACGACAATGTGTCAAACGTTTACGCTGCTAACTGCATGCCAAGCGTACTCTATACGTCGTTCATCTATATATGTATGAATATAATGTATATAAGTTTCGTATGTATATATGCGTATGTATAATGTACGATGCTCTTGTTGCGAATGTATGTATTTTATGATATACATCGATACCTTTGGTTCGAGACCGAAGTAATTGCGCGACGAGACGCGCCGCCGATCGAGAGCTCTATGCACCGGGGTATCTTTCTTCCTCTTTATCAGAATTAATGCGTAAATTAAACAAAAAATTCAAGAATTAGTACGCAGCTTGAGATATATATATATATATATATATATATATATATAAAGAAACTTTCGTGTACGTTATCGCAACGATAATATTTAATTAATTATGATAACAATTTGTTTCATGCTAATTGCACGTTCGCATGATACGTCGAATCAACTGTGCGTACAATTTTCGTTATTATTATTAATCATAGCAAACATGCAACTTGCTATATTTAATTTTCCCGAGCAATTTGATATACGCGCATATATAATATGAAACGAATGTTTAAATGCAGCATAAAGCAAATATTGTTATAAATATTATTAAACGTTATCTACTTTGTGTGTGCTTAACGTAATTTTGTTTCATTTTCCTTGGATCGGCGGAACGTTTAGTCGAAGCGTCTCTTGCCAAACAATCTCTACTGATACCGTATATGCGAATATATGCGTATGCGAACATAATAAGAAAATTTAATTGTTCACTTACCCGTCCATTGTCGAAATCGCGACCACCACCGATCGTCAGTCGTGCTTTCGCCTTCATCGCGTCCGACAGTGGAATCTAAAAAAAAAATAGCATTTCATGAAAATGACATAAAATCTTCCTCCTTACAATGATAAAAAATTTTGCGACTTCACGATTATTAAATAAGATTGTACGAACCAGCTTTTCTTACAAGAAAATTCTGTTACCTTACGTAAATTTATTTTCTAATTTAATAACTTAATTTGTTTATCTTTGTTTTATGATAAAGTATACGTAGAAAGTGTATGAAATTATATCTCCTACGTTTTTCTCACGCGCTCGACGTCTCATTACCTTCGCTCTTGTCGCCTCTGTGTGCGATTTGTAGCAGAATTCCAAGAGAGCTACAGCGAGCGCCAGAAGGAGGCCACCGATGAGGATATAAAATATTCCCGCTACGTTGCTCAGCGATAATTCGTTTCTAGCAGCGTCTGGCTTATCACCGTGCCTGCATTCCGTCCTTTCGTACCACCATCGTTCGAACAGCTTCGCCAGTTCTCCATTTTCCTTCAGCGACAGCACCGCCAAGTTTATGGGATCCCTGTCAAGTTTATCAAGGATCATATCATCGTCACGTGAAAATACTGTCAAATAAATGCTGCACGAGTTGCGGAGAAAATATCGTAATCTATAGGAACGCGTTATTTTTATAACAATCTCCTCTCAGGTATTTTTACGGCATCATATATATATATATATATATATATATCAGAGCACGAGAGACGATCAAAGTACCATCTAATTACGTGCAAATAAAGTAATCGGAGAACATCGAAGTACAATGGCAAAATGCGCCTAACAAGATTTGTTCGAAAAAGTTTGGAAAAACTTTCTTCAATTATAAGCTTTTCGAGTAATATCGATTCTGATAAAGTTTCTGCTTCAATCTACAAGAAGATGTAGAACAAGGGGTAGACTTGGAAGAGAGAAATAAGAATAAGATGAAGCCACCCTCTGCGTTATCTGTCGATGGGTGTATTATAGGCAGACGTGATAAAACTGTTGTTTGCATATACTGCCTCCAATTACCTATTCGCTGTTGCTTCGACGATCCGAAGACAACGCGTGAGCCGCGAGAACGGGAGATCGGAACGTTGCACGAAACGTCAAGGGTCGCGCGGTTAAAAATCAATAACATGCAAATTTGCGCGTATTACCGTCGCAGTGGCACGTTTATTCCAGTCACATTATGAAAATTAATAAAATGACAAATATTTATATTATTTTCTACTTTCATTTAATTAGAGAATCGACTCTACTCTGGAAAAATGTATCTCGTCGTTACAATGTGAATTTGTTATCTCTGCATTTGTAAAGTTTCGGGAGAACAACATATTGCATTTTTTTATGTGACTTATTGATTTTCTTTCTTATTAAATTATAAAAAGAAACAATTTTGTTTAATGTTAAAATTATGACATTCAAAAAATAAGAAGTTATAGAAAATTTTGTTTTGAGATATTGCTTATTTAAAAAGTCAATAATTAATGCTAATTAATAAAACATAAGAAATAATCAAATTAAAATTTACATTAGTAAAGAAAAAAAATGTATTTCGGTAGAAAGAACGACTAAAAAATTACGACGGGGCTAGTTACTTGAGAAAATATAAAATCGGTAAATGTAAAATGGTAAAGCGAACGGATCCAACGTGTACAGGAAAGGTCGGGTTGTGTTAACACGTCGTCGAAACATGATACAAAATGGTGTTGGTCTACGGTAAACGTGTTCCCTAACGGTTAATGGCATGGAAAAGAGAGTACGAGTTTTTCTATGCTAATTGCGCGTAATGATGTGCAATAACATTCTGAACACGGCGAAACGAGGAGCAAAAAGCTTTGGAAAAGACAAAGGCAAAGCGTTCACATGAAAGAGTGATAAAGAGAGAGAGAGAAAATGTACTAGAGGATCTCTGTTTCACCATGATGACTACAAAACCACGTTAATTACCTACTCTCTCCTGTTTGTTCAACGAAAATATATCAAGTGTCTTCTCTGCCGCCGTCTGACGAGAAGCGGCAAGTAATTGTTACGCGTAGGTGTAAAATTATTTCAATCCATCAAACTATTAATTCATTCTAATTCATGTGCGCAACGAGTAATTTATCTTGATAAAGATAAGCAGAAAGAAAAAAAGTATTACACTTATAACAAATCATTATTAATTGAAATGTTTGATTTGAAAATTTTATTCCTCGTTCCTTTTGTGCTTCATAGTGCCTTAACAAAATTTAAACGAAAGAAAATAGCTTTCATTGACGTTTGTTAGTAATTATGTGGGGCTTCAATTATGTGCCTGACTTACCTGAGAGGGGATCCTAACGGCGTCGCGACACCGAATCCCTTGGCATCGAGATTTCTTCCGACCTTCATCGTGTCGCAAGGCTCTCTCTCGTTTGTATATTCATTCGTCGGACTCTCGATTAAAAATGCGTATTTGCCCTTACTCGCTCTCACTCTTCGTACTCCCTCCTCGTACGATTTTACGAACACGTGCTTCCGCGAGTTCATGAACTCCCACATCTTGCTATAGAGACCAATTGGAGATTTCTACAGACAGATAAAAAAGAGGAGTGATAAAAGTGCCAGTCCGACTGCTGAATGTGCATTAAAAATTTAATAAACCGTTCGTGGGACGGAATTACACAAGAGATTATACATCGTTCGTGAATACTCACTCGAAAAAAATCCATCGTCGCGCCATTAGTGACAGTGCCATACTGGACCTCCGTCTGCGCCGCTAAATCCTCGGGCGAGTTAATTGGCGTGACCATTCTCTCGATGGTTAAAAATGCAGCGAGATTCGCGGTGTAGGAGCATATTAAAATCAGAGTGAAAAACCACCAGACGCTGCCGGCTATGCGACCAGATATGGATCTGTTAATCAAATTATTCGAAAGTTATTATTTTACGACAAAACATGGTATATAATAGAGGCAAAAATATTTTAGTCTCTTCTTGTTTTTATTACAATCAATTTAAACGCGTTTGTGTATCCATGATGCTAATTTAAAATTATAATATACAAAGTGTATTTATTGCCTACGCATCATAGATCTTTGTTCCGATTGCTGCGAGCAAAACTGTAAACAAGATACTCGCGGGCAAAAATTCGATGGAGATCCTTAATTATGTCTGCTCATATTGAATCGGATCTGCGAAAGATGAGCATCGAGAACGAGGCGAGAGAGGCTGGTCGAAGGAAAAGAGAACGAAAAACATAGAAAAGGAGAGCAGAGAGATGATGACCACTCGCGCGGGTTCCACGAAATTTACAATTCATATCGCCGCCACACGAATATTTAAACCATTAATCAAGAGAGCTAGTAGGATGGGGTGGTGCACTGGATACAACCAAATGTAAATTAATTGAGACCCAGTTTCGGAGTGAGCACGCGGTCTGCTTCGCGTAAACGACAAAACGCGCGCGTTCACTTTTGTTGCAACTCCATAGGAATGTATGCAGTTTTGTGGAACAGTGTTTCTCAATCCAAGTCTCATGTTACAGTATTAGGGCATAGCACTCACCAAGAAACAAAAATAATAAATAATGAAAGAAGCGGAAATTATATAATATGCTGTTTGAGATTTAACTCTGAAGTAAAAACACAAATAATAATATAATATTAATTGTATTATTCTTTTAGAATAAATCTGATAAAGTAATTGGCAAGTTATTATTTTCTAGCAGATTGCACAAATTGTTTTAAAAATGTAAGAGTAGAAAGCAAATAGTGGGTGCTTTAGAGAAGCAAAATGTGATTTGAATCCTTATCATCGTATTGCGCAATATACTTTAAAGCACAATAAAGCACTATTACGTGAATGTTCTATTCATACTGGACTTTCCTATCCAGCTGGAATGTTTTGAATATATGCGAGCAAATTATGCTTTGTTTATAGATGTGGCACTTGTCCGCAGAGCCTGAAGTGTTTGCTCGAAATCATTATCTAACTTGCACTGTTATATTCTAAGAAATATACGGTCGCGGAAATGTTACGAAGCAATGCTAACTATATCTCCGAGAGAAATAACTTTTATGCATTAAGAATTATCATAAGCCTTCAAGAAAATCGTTATGTATCAAAGAACATATAAGTCTCAACAGACACTTTGAAGGACAGTTAATTTAAAAATGTAAAATTTTTGAAGCTATAAAACAGCCGAGAAAAATCCTTCTCTCTTTGGTTCTTTAATATACTCAACTTTCACAAAGACCATCTCCATAATTTATAACTCCTTAATTAAAAGAGAGAGAAGAATTTTTTGTCCCTTCTCACATCCTATTTCTTACTTGATTTATTTTATTGTCACAACTCTTTAATATATTATATTTTTGTTTTTGTTCTAAATTTAATAAAAAGTATTATGTAAAACTTTTCTCAAACTCATTCGAGTGATATCGATCTCGCTAAACTAATATTATGTCACCGAATAAATATTTCTCTGAAAGCGCGCGTGTAGATCGACGTATAACTTTATAAAATCAAATCTGATACATAATATGGCACATATGGAGAAAGATTATCATGTGAAAGCAAATGCGAAATAAAGCTTACAAAGCATTAAAGGATGTGTAAATAAATACGTGGTTGTTGCACGTGTCGCGGTTGGAATTTTTGCACGCGCGGTACACTTTATTCAAATGAGTCTGGCGCGGCCATAATCGTTCAGCGATTATAAAGCCGATCTAAATTACGTGTCACGATAAGGCAATTTTATTATGAATGTCGTTCTGATTCTTTTTTCTGCAAATTGCACGCATACGCAAATTTACAATGAATTCATATATAATTTCAATTAAAATTATTTACAATTATTTTGCAATACTCCAGTCTAATCAATCTACGTTTGCTCGAGTGCTTTATGTCATTAAGAACGAGCATGTTTAATTGTACTACACTGTAAAAAAATATGTAATATATTACACAAAAATATGTAAGAGTACATAAATAATAAGTGTAAAATTACACGATAAATAATAGAAATTTTTACTTTTTCAATATTTATCATGTAATTTTACATTTATTATTTATATAATTTTACATATTTTTATTTTGTAATTTTACATATTTTTTTCACAGTGTACATCGTTGACGAATATACAGTAATTCGTAGTCTGAGCACAATTGTAACATAAGTGAAACAGTACGCGAGATAAGAGCGATTGAAATGTTTGCTAACGACAGTATAATGACGATACTGATGGTGATAACGCGTATTTATTGCGAGAATAATATGGAATAGAGGTATACAGTTGCAAGCACAAGAGACCAAATAATATGTGATTTATATATTTGTGTAATAATCGCATATATCTTTAGAAGAGCAAATGTGTAACAGGTCAACAACAATGAAGAAAGATTTTTAATGTAAGATACGTTCACACATACAGAATGTCCTAGAAAAACCTGTACTTTCTATTTAACGATAAATACTTTGACAGATGTACGTGTTCGAATTTTTTTATCACATTTGTACGCGAGACACGAGATGAAATAATTGATTCGCGAAGCGTAGATAATCTATTAAGATTGTTAACTTGGCCATATTTAACATAAAATATTGTAAAGATCTTTTCAGCTAAATGTCCATCTGCGGAGAGACGCTTTAACAATTTACACGAGAGATTTTAAACGTCAACCAGGGAGCTCTTATAGAATCTTGCCCGATTCATCCTATTACCGGGTTGTACGCTCGACCTATCCCGGGTAAAGGGAGCTATTCTCCCTGTGCCTTTATGTACTTACCTGCGCTTATACTGCGGAAACGGAAACGGAGGGAAGCAAAAGTGGGTGGCTATAATTAGCCAAGGAGAACGTGGGCGCTACTTGCGCGCGCCGGTCACTTTCTCTCTCTATCTTTTTTGCTCTTTCTTCTTCATTCTCTCGTAAATTCATATCCACGAGCCACTCTCGAGATAAATATCTCAACGCACCCGAATCTTTAATCGCGAAATTGCACGGTTGCACATGCTTCGTTTACACGAATTCTTTCATACTAATGTATTTTTTAAATGTTGAATTCTTTGATGACTGTGTGAGATATTTTTTTTCTCAGCAAATATGAAGTTGCCATATTCGTTTCAGTTTCCAATATCCCGATAATTGAACTTTAAATTAAATTTCTGCTAAAGTTGATGAGATTGACAAAGCAAATTCTGTAGAATTAATATTTGACGAAAGAGAGACAAAATTTCGATGCTATTTAAAAAAAACATTGATAATTGTAATATCGCAAAAACAATCGAATGAGTAAAATAAGTTGAAAGACATAAAAATTTGTATCTTACGAATTTTACGAGTTAAATTTGATTTATATTAAGTTAAAACAATCGGAGGAAAAAGACTTGACGACATGCGAACGTTATTTATTATATTTATTAAAAAAAATGATTAAAATTAAAAATTTGTGGCAGAAACATGAGCTGACATGAAATCCGATGATTAGAAAAAATTAAATATTGAGTTTGCAACAAGAACGTCTTCTCGCGCGCACGACGTTAATTACTGCCGGAAATTAATAACGCGAGGCGTGTTTACCTGGGCGAGATATCGCAGCCCTGTTGCATAAACGCCGCCAGAGCAAACCAGAGGCTATTTACGATACTGAAGTCGTTGGCCATGCTAGAAGTTGGCATGTGGGGTGAACCTTGCGGCGTATGCGGATGTTGCAAACTGGGATCGTTTCGTCCGCTAATAGCTGAATCCGTGCTACCGCTGATGGTGAGTACCCTCCACTCGTACGGCGAAAATCTAGATTACAAATAAGGAGAAAAATTAGAGAGAATCGTTACGGAAAATTATTTTGCTCATTAAAAATGTTGGACCGATGTTAAAGATGTTTAAAAATTATCTCTAAAATGTTAACATCCCCTAAGACATTAAGTAAAGGGAGCAATTCAGTAGAGAAAATACTTCGATAATTGAAAATATTTTTTTCAAATGTGATGTTTTGAAAATGTGATGTATACTACGTAAATCCCCGGGGTGAGATTGCGTGTTCTCTAGTTGATGACATGAATAAATAAATTGTTTTACAACAGTACGCGATAGAAGGTTGCCTGCCAATGTCAATAAATCATAAGAGTTGCTCATAATTATGATGAGAGATAATAAATTTCAAAGTTAATTCGTTATCTACATCTAAAAGTCGCTCTATAAATAATAGCCTTTTAAAAATGAGGGTCTACCTTAATTCTAGTTAATTCCCACAGTCATATTTTTTTCAAGTAATATCACGCGCGTCGTATGCATCAGTCAATCGTATACCAAGTCTTAAATGTTGGCATTTAAAGAGAGAGAGAGCGAGAGAGTCTCATTAATTAAGAAGCTACCTAAAAACTTTCTCGACTTGCTCATTATGCCTTCGTTAAAGTGACCGAGAGCTCTCGTAAACGAGAATTTTTTTTCTATATCAGTGCGAAAATAACGAACGACTTACTAGAATATAATTGTTTCTCTTTTACTCTTATCCATTAATATTTGATGGCGACTTTTCGTCGGAATGGTTCCGTTCGATCGCAATTGTGCAAGATAAGAGACATAAATATGTAGCATACCAGAGAATAAAAAGCGCAACGAGACTATATATTGCGACGTGTCGACACATTTTGCCGACTACATCGCGATAAATGCATCTGTAATTGCTGCACCTTGACACGTAATTGTGACAGTAGACCCAAGGTCTGTACAACTAGAATAAAAGTGGATGCATTCTCTTTATGACTGTTCTAATGTTATTAATGTAAATTAATAAATCGTTTAATTGTAAATCGCAAAATTAATTGTAAATTAATAAAATTAAATATATTTAATTTTAGATGTATGTTTGTTATTGTTTGTAAAAAATTACAAAAATTTTATCTCTCAATAAAAAATGTCTTACCTTGATACAATAAACAGGACGATAGAAACTGCGATGTAGGAAAAAATGACGCACACCCAGATCTCCTTGCTCAGCGGATTCAGGAAACTGAAGACTCCGAGTTTTTGTTTGATGGGTTTTTTTATCATGATGCTGATGCCGAGAGACATAAACGGTTTACTAAAATCGATCACGCGTTCTCGATCAGAAGTGATAGTTATGGGAGCGATTGCTATGTCGGCTTCCTGCAAATCAAGTAGAATAACTGCTATAAATATCAATATGAATAATCAGAAATTAATTTTTTTATAACTTGATTTAAACATCCAGCAGAGATTATAATAAACATTAACTTAAAAATAAACTTTAAACGGGTTAAAAATTTAAAACAAAACTAAGTATTTTATATGTCAATAATTAATTATATGATAATATATTTTTTCAGCACATTTTATTATGAGAATTTGTGCATTAATATGTATAATCAATAGATACTTTAGTTATGGTATTTTTATTCTTTAATTATTGTTATATTTATGTGATTCTTATTTTAATAATATAATCAAAATAAATAATTTTTCTCAATAACTCTGTTATTTTTTCCTGTTTCAAAATATTGTTGAAATGACCTAAACGCATATACCTCCATGAGATACAGCTAAAAGCTCAATTGTTTTCAGCTTATTCTAAGTTCTCGCGAGATGGAGCTTAAAATCGGTTAACGATTGACGAGCTTGCAAGCTCAGGGCATCTAGTGGAATACGTTCAAACTCGCTATCGAGAGATAAAACAGCTTCTTGGTAGACCATCTCGACTGCAACCGCGCGGCGATCAATATTCTGCTCTTGCGAGAAGCTGGGTTCAATCACTCGAGGCGCCTTTCCGCGTAAACTTCCGGGGGAGCCGATTTCGGGAGAGGAAAAAGCGCTTCGCGTTAAGGATGTAGCGGATACAACGAAATTACCGGAACTTACCTTTCTGATAAGCTCCCCGACCATGCCGTCCCAGCCGCCCGGGACGTCCGGGTTTTCCATGCCGTATTTTCCGTCCTTCACGATCCGCAGCTCGTCTGAAAATTCGTAAGAAAGTACTTTACGAGGCGCGCGAAACACCATTTCTTTCGCGGAACTTTTTCCATTATCGATTCCGCGCGCAGAAGAAGCTTCGTTACGTCTTTTAGGTACTTGTCAAGACTTTGGCAAATTTTGCCGAATAATAAAAGTAATTTTTTTGCTTGAATTATGAATTCTTATGCAAGTAAAATGAGATTTGCTAACATTGATAATTAAAAATTACTTAAAAAAAAAGGGACGCATAATATTAAAATAAAGATTGCGTTGTTTCTCCGTATCGTTATTTTAGTTATTATATTAAATTTCAATAGATATGAAATAAATTCCCAAAAAATAAACTATTTATTAACTGATTATCTAATGTTCTCGTATTAATAATTAAATTTTTCATTTTAACACTATCAATATTGCATGTATAAAATTTATAATTTGTATCTATATTACATTATTTTATCTGTTAATGCATTTATGTAATTTTTGAAAAAGTCTTTTAGAAAGCAATAATTATTTGCGATTATAAACTTACATGATATGCCTAGCTTTTGGCGATGAGGTCAGCCAAATCTTTACAATATCCTTCGTAGATGTCATTTCCGAATAATACTTCATCTGTATCCGACATTTTCTTCATTATGTAAGGGTCGTCCTATATAATTGAAATTATAATTAATCCTAATTATACGCGAATTAATTGAAAACAAATAATTTTAATAAACTTACCAATATCGTAGTAACGATGTAGGTTTTATTCTTTTCAACTTCATGTTGACGAAGTCGTACATATTTTGCGGCTATGGCTTGAAAACCAGTCTCATCAGTCCATTCGGCGACCTACAACAATAAATCATGATGTAGTTCTCTTAATGTGAATCTGTTGAATTAGATATTGCGAGTGTTTGCAGAAAAAAATTAAAAAAAGAAGTACAAAATAGAAACTGTATTATATTTATAGAAATTTTTTAAAAGCTACATTTTGCAAATATATACAATATTTATTACTGTAATAATACAGTTAAATTTTGCAGATCACAATCAGTGGAACATACCTAACACTTAGAAATAAGTATAAGCGTTTTTAGCTGATTCAATTTAAAAACATTTGAAATAAAATACTCATTAAACGTTAATGTTTCTTAAATGTTAATGTTTCTCAATGTCTGAGCCACATTGTGTGAAAGATATGGATGCGAATAAGCGTATTCCTCTACAATACAAAAATCATTACCAAACATCATAAATATTGCAACACAATATCAATCTCACCAATTTAATTAAATGAACGATTAATATGATATCACAAATATGTATAATCGAAAGCGATTCTGTTACTTATGAATCTAGACACGACAAAATTGAGATCATTTTTCGAAGTAATTTTGAATGAAATAAAAGCGATGCGTTGCGTAAAATTTACAATGCGAATTGTATTAAACACTTTCGATTTGCAGCGTAAAATTTATTTCTAGCATCGTAATTTGTCATACATAAAACATTAAATAACTGTTCATATATTTCTCATGAAACATGATAGTATAACTTACTTTCACCATAGCGCTATTAACAGTCATCTCGACGACATGAAGCGTGTAATTCTGTCGCCGACCATCGTCATTGAATCGTATCTCTCCTGTCAGCCCTTCAATCTCAACCTGCAAATAAATAATTTTTAATCGCGTATTTTGCATGTATATATAACTGTAATAACGAATATTATGATGTTCTTTTAATCGCTCACATATTTTTATAAAAATAAAAGCAAAAAATATGAACTAAATAAAAAATAATGTAGATCATTATGCATATAATATGCTTTTAGTAACAAAAATATATTTTAATAAAATATATTACAGAAATACATTTCGCAAAAATCTGATAATAGATATAAAAATAAATAATCTTTTCTGGATTATTACTGTTAGTAATTAACTTGTGATAATAATAAGCAAAATATTTTTAATTAAATTATCATTGAATAAAAAATTTAAGAACGAGTAGAATATTATTCGAATGAAAACAATGACAGCTATTAAAATTTATTGGAAAAAATAATGGTCGACTGTAATTTTGACTGACAAATTATCAAATTATAGCGGATTCGAAAGACAAAAAGAGACACAAGAATAACAACATGTATACGTAAAGGTGGAATGACAGAGGAGTATTTGACGTAAACGCAGGAATTCCGTTAGAGTCGGAATAACCGCCAATTACTGTCAAGAGCAGAGATACGTAGAGGAGGGTCCCTGGCAATTTCGGTCGCCACAGTATTTCGTAACACACATTGAGTACCCCTGTCCTCTGATCGCGTCTCGGGAATTTGAAAACAAATTACCTACACATGATTGTGCGTATATTATCGCATTCACGTATTATTAAAATATAAATTCTGATTACACAATTATATAATAATGCGCGATCATCAAAAGCCGACAGTAGAAATTAAAAATTTAGCACGCAGCAATAAAATACGCTAATTCGCATATTTGTTTAATTCAATTTATTTAATGGAATTATATATTGACCGAGTTATAAATAAAATTATGAGAAAAATGACAAAGAATTATATATAGGAAATTATTTATACTTATACATGTACTTACATTTAATATGTAATAATCATGAAAATATTGTGCGAACGGTATTCTTCTTATTAACAAGATTGATTTACCTTTCTCAAAAGTCTCGAGATTTTGTCTCCATATTCCCACGGAGTGACCCAGCCGCGATTGTTGTAGCAATCTAAAGCTTTTGTCCCGTTTATAGGCTGATTGCTGCTTGTAGTTCCTATACGTCGTGTATTATTTTTATCGGTTCTCTTTCTCAAAAACTTGTTGAAGGCTTCGACCAAGACGAACACGGCGTCGTACATCAGAGCAGCTTGTGCCTAATTTTGACACATGTATAATAAATTACTTTTGACAAAGCATATATAAGTGTATCGATTTTCACAAAGTTGAAGAAGAGAGGGAAATAAACTGAATGATTTTCGAAAACGGAAGGTGAAAATGGTGAAGAATGGTTTACATATTTATTCCTCGTGCGCAGGATTCCCGTCCACGGATGGAGTCAAGAATTTGGCAAGATTCAGAAAGGGATTCGCGTCGGTGAGATGTACGTAAATTCGCGGAGACTAGAGTACCTCGGGCACTTCGCCAGTGTTAGAAAACCGCGCTTGGTATTCGCTGAGTATAACGATCGAGCACGATAATCGTTGCATTAGATTGCATGCAGCCTGTCTCCGAGAGAGCTTTTAGATCCATAGATATTACGTTGCCCAACCTTACCCGGGAAACCCGTTAGCAATGTATCCGTTTTAAGGATTATAGACTTCTTGTAATACAGCAAAAATTATGCAAAACAATCGGATATAACAGTATTTCTCTATATTGCGATTTCGCGGGATTAAACATGGATATACGAATAACAAATAGCCATACACAACAATTATGATTGTTAATTCGTATTAACAGACACATTTCGTTTCTTAATCAAATGTAATAAATAACAAGTTCTCTCTCTTTAAAGAAAATTATATCAAAACGTCGTTTTATATTTGCGGTTCGTGTCTCAATCCGTATAATGCGACAATATATATTTTTTAAATAATCAAATATAAACATTATGTGTAACTTTGTATTTTTTTTTACATTCCAATTAATTTGATCGACCATTGGGTCAATGATTACCGCGAGACGAAAAAGTGTTTAGCACAACAGCGAGATCGTACTAAAGAGTTGTGTCGCCGCGCACCGTTAAACACTGGTTATTTTTTGTTGGATCTATACAAGAACCCTCTTCGGGGGAAAAAATGTTAACGCGCGGACGGAGGAAGAGTCATTAAGAGAAACGTGAAACACGGTTTGCGTGGTACGGTCGACCGAGCGGCACTTTATAAACGGGCTGAAAAGTCCAAGTTTCTACATGCGGGTGCAGTTTAACAAGTTTGGTCTCAAGCCACTGTGCACACATACACACACACAAAGGAGAGAGAGAGAGAGAGAGAGAAACGCAAATGATAGAGAAAGAACACGCGCGCCAATGAACCGACATCCGTACGAATTCTTGTTTGATTCCTCGTATGAGGAACTTTCGTGCCACCCTCGTCGTCGTCGGTCGACGATGAAGAAACCCGAGAAAGTATTCGATCCACCGGGAGAAAATCGCTGCACTCGAGAGGTCGAGGGAAGAGAGGAAGTGAGCGAGCATTTCGCACGAGGAGCCATAGTTTTCTCCCTGGACGCAAACTGGTGGAAGTGGCGAGAAGCCGACGTCAGGGGATGAAGGACACAGGCGTGAGAAAAAAGAGGGATGAAGTCTCGTAGGAGACGTTGGATATATATATATATATATATATATATATATATATATATATCCGTATATATATATATATATATATACGTACGGAAATGGATTCACGACCGGCTTGAGCCATGGCGGGGTCCAGGCGATGCCAGTTGGTCAGGAACTCCTTGACGTGAGGTCGATTGCCATCTACGATGCGAAAGCCCGTGATGTTGATGGCGCCGAACTCGATCACCTCGCTCTCCCATCGGTCGTCCATTATCTGATTACAGCGAAACACACGAGATATTGATATATGAAGGAAAACGCGGAGTGGAGTCTGTGTGAGATGGCGCGGGACTGATCTCTTGCTCGCTTGTGTGATAAAGGTTGTCATCTTAAAGCCTCCTTTCCACCTTCCGCGCTCTAAGGAGACATATATATATATATATATATATATATATATATAGCTTTGCGAAAAGCATCCGACATCTCAACAAGGTCCTTGATCTTTCGTCGCGTCTTCAAAGTCGACTCGAGGACAGGCATACTCGAATCACTGTTATATTATTACGGCGCGTTATTACCGCGTTTCCTTTGTTCCTTTATGAAAAACGTAATGGGACTGGGATGGCTCGATATCAATTCGGACCTTACCGTCTTATTTAATTACTCAAGCTCGAATACAGCTTTAGTTTTACGTTAATATTGCGTCGTTACTGCGTATTATGCGCGAAATCTTGGAATGACGAAAAGCTCGCTACTCGTGTTAACGCGCACCAGTTCTTTTCGGAGATGAGAAGGCAAGGGAAGGAAAATTGATAGGTTTGTGCCATCGTAAGCACGCGTATTAAAATGCTTGTACGAAACAATAAGTCCGATTAAAATTAAGATTATTTAGTTTCGCGATCGTTAAACTAACGAGCAAACTATGAAGAACCAAGCTTCGTTCGAGGATGCCGGAAACGGTAGCAGAATTGATACCGAAAACAAAGCTTTTTGGAAAATCCGCGTAACAATTCGGCGTTTCGTTCGCAAAATTGAACTAATAATATCCGATATCTGATTATACGGATGTTATTATTAGACCTCGCGGATCTCTTTCGTAACTACGGTTCCGTTGATCCGTTCGTTGCTTTACGCTGACTATGCGGTACCATCATGTACCATCATCCATCAACCGACCTGGAGATAATACACGGTCGCTATGTTAATGTTGTATGCGTGTTTAACTTCGTCGCGAACGAGTTCGGCGCGTTACCAGTTTAATTTGTCGGTCTGATATCACCGCGTCCGCCACGTTGACTTTTGAACTTTTGCATCTGCGGTTAGGGAGCGGATAAAGTTTTGTAATATCCAGCTTCACTAGTTGTTGAACAACTATTAGTCTTAAAAATCCGAGCTTAAAGTATTAAGTCTAAAAAAATACGAGGGATGAATAAATAATAATATAACTTAAACGAAATAATATAACTTTCAAAAGTGTCAGTTTATTAAATAATTAATAGAACACAGATTTATAAAATGAAAAGTGCATAATTACATCGAAATAATATAGACGGGGAAAAAATTTAATAGAATTTAAGAAATATTTATCTCTTAACTGTGTAATAAAATTAATAAATAGTAGAAAGTGAAAGAACTTTAGTTTGATTTTAAACACAGCTTTTATCGTTGAAATAAAACAAGTTAGTAAGAGACTAGAATTTTCTGGGCTCGTAAATGTATCGATAGAAATTTGCATATGAAAGACGGGATTATCCAAGGTGCTGGTTAAGTCGTCGCCCGCAATCGTTTTCTGGTGGTTGAGTCGATGGACGTGAAAGGGAGAAGGAGGTAAGAGCAAGGGATAGGTATAGCGGAAAGCGGGAAAATGTGCGAATCGACACGTCTACGCCTTGCTGGCGCGGTAAGCAACCGTTTCGAGAACGACGCGATAAATGACAATGGCGGGTGCTTCGTAGAGACGGAACGCTCGAGATGTACATGCAGGTATGTATGTACAACTATCTTCGCCGTCGCCGGAGTGTAATGCCGCCTGCTCCTTCGCAGCAACTCGCTGGAAGCCGCTAAACACAAGCAAACTGTCCTCTAAATTCTAAAGTACGGAGGAGACATCACCGACGAAGATCTTGCCCTCCCACGACGGAGCGTTCCGTGTCAGTTTGAGCGACGGGTTCTCGGTTGTTTCGAAAATTTCGGCATGCTGCGAATTAATCCCGTACACCAGACGGTATACAAGTGAGAGCACTTTCGCGTGGTAAGTCATTATTTTGCATACCGCATATTCTTCGAGTTGGAAAAGCTTACAAATAGAAATTATCAGTTTTTCAATTAAAGAGAAAAATGTTTTATGCATGTTGCATATGTATATGACATGTAATGAAAAAAGGTTTTATTTATTTTAAGATGAGTTCTTTTTTTATCTCTAATTTTTCTTCTTTTTTTTTACGATAAATATGTAAAATACAAGGTGCTTTTTATATACGTAAATTACGGATATTAACTGCATGCGAGCGATTAATCCGGAAAGTCTCATTCGCATATAATAGGATGTAGGACAATTAACTATAAAAAAGAGAGAGAGAAAAAGAGTTCTATTTCACAACTTACCAAGCCACTCAGCAGATAATGATACGTTCTTTTTCCCAAAGCTATATCCCTCACATGGCTCACAACAATATCCTTTGCCATGTCTGTCGGACAATCGAGCACGACGTATTTGTTACTCCATCTGAAAAATTTGAACATGTAATTCGAAATGAATTGTCGAGAAAGAAGGGAAAAAAGAGTGAAAAAAAATCACGCGCGCGACATTGAATTTGCCATCGGAAAAGCGAACATAAGTCACGCGCGTTGGTTCACCACAATTCGCATGTCGCGTTAACGTGCGGCTTTGTCGCATTTGATCGATGCACCGCATAGTTTCTCATGCTCATTTCGTTTGTAATAATTGGATATTGTATGGCAATTTGTAATAACGCTGTTGTTTTCGGTAACTATTACTATACTCAGTCAATTCAAACTACCGTCATGACAATTACTCGCCGTTGTTGATTACTTGCATTGCACAAATGCGTATAGCCGCCGGTGCATTGCAGTGCTTGGCACTGCAATTCGCATTATGAATTTTATCCGTTATACTGTCGGGATATGCTACTTACAGGAAAATAATAATTGTGGTTACCGCGGGTGTAGAGATAAGATTACTATTACAACCGCATTCTCTTTTATTTCTACCCTGAGGAAGGACGTGAGAAAACTTGAAATTTGTCTAAAACATATGTACTTATTATAAACATATGCCAAAAAAATTATTATAATACACTATACTATTGTTATGTAATGCAATTTCCCCCAAAAATTTCTATAAGTATAATATAAAAAATAGTGATATATTATTTATATTTTTGATAGAAAACTGTTATTTGTCTTTATGATATCTGATGGAAAATTACTTGAAGATGATTAAGAGAATGCGCCGCGTACAGTCATAAAAGAACCTATTGTGAGGATTCCTAGCTCGAAATATCGAGTACAGATTCCGGAATCCTTCCGGCGAAAGGTTTCATATTCCTTTTATACGTGTTATATATGTTTCAAGGAGAAAACACTCACCGGTTAAGTTCCTCAAGACTCCGTAGAAAATCGATTGCCTCTGACATATTCTGTATTCTCTTGACGGTTTCAACTTGAAAGGACTCGTTGCCTGGTTTCAAGCCCTGATAAATCTGCTGCAGCCTGAGCAATCCTGAAACCCACGGGCGTTTAATTAAATTATAGGAAACGCTTATATGCGCATCTCGCTCTACATGGGTTCGACATAGGCTCGGGTTACCACTCGTCGATGTGTGTGTCTTCCGAAAATTACATACGCACGATTGCGCGTTACATAGACCATGTCGTAATTCATTGGCAGCCTCTGTTCAGTCTGCGGTTTCTCGCGCGGTGTGAAATATCGCCTGTCTACGGGCTGCGCCTCTAAGTTATAGAGAGTGCCGTAGATCGTTCGATTTGACCCGCCTCGTATTTTTGGCAATGACAAAATTTAATCGCGTCGTAATGCGGCGCCGCAGTTATGCGTGTGTGACTCATTGTTACCACGATCAAAATTGCGATGCATTTTCCATAATAGCCTAGGGCGATATGGCTCTTTACATATGTCTATGGATGTGTATTTATATGTACATACGTAATATATGTATAATGTTCTATATCCTCTATGTAGCATTATCTTTGTTTTGAATTATGTAAATGTAATATAATAATGTAATACGAGAGAGAGAATGAGCTACAGTAGAAAATAAAAATGTCAAAAAAAAAAATATATATATATATATATATACGTCTTATAAAAGCAATAGTCTATTGTTCTTTTGGAACAGTGCTTAAGAAATTGGTTTTTAAATAGCTATGATATTTCTTTGGTAATTGTCTTTCTTTCTCATTTCTCGTTTCTTCAAGCCGGTTGAACCTTTTACTTAAAAATACATTGCATAGAAAATTGAAAAACAATAGTCGTCTCAAAATATATATTCATGTATCTTTTTACATGTATAATAGATTTAGATGTGTCTGTATGCGAAAATTCTCTCTAGAGATCTCTCTTCGTGAATTGCTAAATCTATAAAGAGAAATCCATGGCTTCACTCGGTCTTTATAGATTCAAATATATATATTCCCAGATCCATAAATACATATATACGTACAACCGTATAAATATATGCAAGCCCACTGTTTCTAGCAAATATACAGTACTGTTCGAATTATATGCAGTACGTTATCCTGAGATACGATCAAATATCAGTAAATGCTCACGCGCATGTTGCGAGGTGCAACGCGGAGCAGAGAGTTCTGGCGAGGTCTAGATTCTGATCGCGGGCGTCTCGTAAATTTTCGAAGGAATCTATACGGCGCATGATCTGTTACAAGACAGAAAAGCGCTATTTTAGCGCGTTTTTATTGCATCCCGAAGCTGCGTCAACGTCTTAATCGCCTACCTACTCTTCGGGCACCATTTGCCCCGGGCATAACAATACACCCTCGAACCCTGTACTCGTTGTTACTTTTACGATCGCGATTACTGCGGCGTAAGTTACGGGCGGCGTATATTGCACGATGTAGACGCACGGTGAGTTACAGCGTAAAGCATTTGTGCGCGTGTCTCCGCGGTTCCGCGATGAAAACATCAGCCGGAAAAATACCGGCGGGAAAAAAGATTGGCAAGGCGCTTTCCGAACGTCGCAACGAAATCTGGAAAAAGCACGGCTATGAAAGAAGGGAGAACTTTAACACCGGAGAGAAATATGTGAAAAGAGAGGAGGAGCTGGAAGTTTTACATAATTCTTAAATGCGTTTCTTAATATTTCTTGGCGAGCGATATTTGTTTTGTGAATAAGAAAGAAAATCTCGCATGCATATAATACAATGTATAATTGTAATATTTATACTAGGTGCTTATTTGTCCGGAATACATAAAAATGCAAATATTTTTAACGCAGAAATAATTTTATACATATGTTATTTTGATAAAAGAGCAAGAAATTATAAGATTTATTTTTGAAAAATATATTTTATATTTCATGCTTTTAATTGGATGTTGAAATACTGTGTAAAATAAAAGAAATACTCTTTGGTTGTGAATTTTTTAATATTATTATTAATAATTTTATTTAATTATTTAATTAACTTACTTTATACAATACTTTAAAGGATATATTTATTCCAAATTAAATAAAAATATTTGCTATGTAATTAAAAAAAACTATAAGAAAGAAAATGAAAAGCAATAATCTAGGTTAATGGAAAGTCTGATGCAGAAAACATGGTACGCGCAAAATGTATATTTCATATTGCTATATTTCCTTTGCCGTCAGGCATGAAAAAGATGATCAGGTTAACGAGCGCAAATCTAAAATTACCAGCGTACATATATGTTCCTTCGAGCAAAAGAACTTGACATTGCTTTCTCACGGAATACTATTTCCACTTCAATTCCAACCTTTCCATTGCATTTTTCTCTCAGCAATGACTCTGGCACGGTCACCGAAGCTCGGCTCGAAAATCACTTTCTTTCTACTGACTGCTCCATATTTGAGTTGTCAATAAGTAGTTTAAGAAACGAAAGAATACGAATCAGCGCGGAATATGCTTTTATCATCTGAATTGAATTTTAATACAGCATTTCTAGAGAGAGCATATAAAAATAAAATTCTCGGATATAATATTCTAAATTAAATGTTCTATTAAATATGATATAATACACATAACTTATTTTTATTTCATCACGATCAACTATTTTCATTTTAAAATGGAGAGAAATTTCTAATATAGAAACAGCAAAAATAATTCTGACAATGTCAGAATATAATTGCATCAGCTTAACATAACAAATTGTCGTGATGGATCTGCGTCGAACGCACAATTTTCGCCGCGGATGTAACGGAGAGAATTTTTAATTACGCGAATTTACATTTTCTTGTCAAACTTCAATATCAGAGTTCTTTGCGTCGTAACGAACTTGTGATTCATCGTTCAATTTATTTGTACATATATATATATATATACCAGAAATACGTATAAACTACCTTGTTACTCGGCGTGTTTCAGACACTGTGTACAACCCGCGTACGGTTTCTTTAGCCGTTACACTCGACTCCTAGCAAGTACAAGAGGCAATGGTAATCGCGAAGCTGGCTTTGAAGCACCGATGCTCGTTTGAAAAGCATACGTGCGCACAATATTCATATTGTTAGAGGATATGGATCCACACATGCGTGCGAAGTAAATAATAATTTTGTGTGAAACTTCAGAGAACCCTGACGTGACCCTCCCGAGGCGAGACTTTGATGTGTCGTTCGTTTCATTTGCGCAACAGCAATCCTAGTATCATGAATTTAAGCTGTTTACAGTGCACTAAGAAGTTTATTTAGCCTCTGAGTCGCATAAAAAATATTAACAGAAAGTCTCTAGATTAAAATCATATACTTGAATTACATAGGAATTTATGTGATGAGTACAAATGAACGAGATAGTTGCTATTTATAGAAGATTAATTAAAAATATTTCTTTCCATGTTGAATTACGTCAAATAAAAATAGTGATATTTAAATTCCAAATTTCTTATGTCTGCTCAAAGTAGATCTATACTACTTTAAAAAAAAACAATGTGATTTGTAAATCCATCGAATAAAAACAGTAATACTTGAATTCCAAATTTCTTATGTCTGCTTAAAGTAGATCTATACTACTGTTTAAAAGAATAAACACTATAGCACTTGTGTAAACGTCGAATAAAAACAATGATATTTGAATTCTAAATTTTGTATGTCTGCTCAAGTAGATCTATACTACTATTTTTCTTAAAAATAGTAGTATAGATCTACTTTGAGCAGACATACAAAACTATTTTTAAAAGGATAGATCTATACTACTATTTTTAAAAAATGTAATATTTTTGTAAACGTTAAATAAAAATAGTAATATTTGAAATCTATATTTCTTATGTCTGCTCAAAGTAAATCTATACTACTATTACAAAAATGTGACATTTTTGTAAAATCTCATTGAATAAAAACAATAATACTTGAAATGTGAATGGACAGGCTAATAATACTTGAATTCTAAATATCTGTCTGCTCAAAGTAGATCTATACTACTGTTAAAAAGAAAAAATACTATGGCACTTATGTAACCGTCGAATAAAAATAGTAATACTTAAATTCTACATTTCTTATGTCTGCTCAAAGTAAATCTATACTACTATTAAAAGAAATGACATTTTTGTGAACTCTCATCGAATAAAAACAATAATATTTGAAATGTAAATGGACAGGCTAATAATACTTGAATTCTAAATTTCTGTCTGCTCAAAGTAGATCTATACTACTGTTGAAAAGAAAAAAACATTATGGCACTTATGTAACCGTCGAATAAAAATAGTAATACTTAAATTCTATATTTCTTATGTCTGTTCAAAGTAAATATATACTACTATTAAAAAAATGTGACATTTTTGTGAACTCTCATCGAATAAAACAATAATACTTGAAATGTGAATGAGCAGGCTAATAATATTTGAATTCTAAATTTCTGTCTGCTCAAAGTAGATCTATACTACTGTTTAAAAAAAAAACACTATGACACACTTACGTAATCGTCGAATAAAAATAGTAATACTTAAATTCTACATTTCTTATGTCTGCTCAAAGTAAATCTATACTACTATTAAAGAAAACAATGTGACACTTTTGTGAACCCCCGTCGAATAAAACAATATAATACTTGAAATACAAATGAACAAGCTAATAATACTTGAATTCTAAATTTCTCATGTTTGCTCAAAGTAGATCTATACTACTGTTTAAAAGAAAAAATCCTGACACTTGTGTAAATCCGTCGAATCAAAACAACGATACGTAAATTTAAAATGTTTTATGTCTACTCAAAGTAAATCTATACTACTGTTTAGAAAAAAAACTTTCGTAAATTGGTACATATGACAAATTTTAAATGGTTAACAATTCATATATAAAATCCGGTCACACTTTACATCTTTATTGAAATAGCACACTTTGATTATGATATTGTAATTGATATTTTTTGTGCAACGAAAAGCTCAACAGTTGTTTTAATATCGTTTCTCGCACTCGAATACTTATTTTGTAAATTCACGTGAAAAGAAATTGACTTGAAGCTATCGGGTACGCGTGAAGCCATGACAAGACGCAATCCAATTGTGCCCGGTGACAT